TATCTCAAGAGCCTCAGCAAGAAAAGCCGTACCTTCCTGTTCTCTTGGGAGTACCTGCCCTCCTGCTGCACATGCCTTGCTTTCCTCTGTTCTTCTTTCCATTGGATGTGCAGCCCCAATCTGATACTTTTTTTTTTTCTTCTGGTACCAGGGATCAAACTCCGGACTTTGTGCTTGCCAGGCAGGCGTGGCACTGAGCTACACCCCTGGCCCCCTTCCTAGCACTTTAACCTCACAGCTTCTGGGTAGTGGATACCTTCTGGCACCCTATGTTGGTTATCATTTTTCCTTCCATCTGACTCATTTCAGTGATCCCCTAAAACCTCCAATCCCAAAGACCAGTGGTCACCATTCAAACTGGTAACCAGGGAACATCCTGACTGGGAAGTAAGGAACATGGTGGCCAGGTGGGCCATCTGCTCACACCCCTCCCTCTACTGCCCTCCACACTGCTGTCCTGAGATGTCTCTTTCCACTGCCTAGGAGCCCTGAGGCAGTGAGGCCAAGTTCTAAGTATGTGATTATGTATGCTGCGGTCCCTCTGGCCCCTCTGTCGCTTTAGCGTGTTGTGGCAAACAAAAGTGCACTGGATTAGCCACAGTGGATTAAAAGATTTGCTTCTCAGAGTTTACCTAATAACCTAACAATCACATCGACAGCAGCTTTGAACCTCCAGGACGTGCTTGTTGGGCCAGCTGAGAGCCCAAAGCCTCTGTGGGCAGTAGGACTGCGGTCAGTGGTCACACACACAGCCTTGGCCCACCTCACAGCCAGCTCTGCCCAAACTAGGCCCATGTGTTCTCGGCTCTCATGGGCCCCTCGGCAGAAGTTGAGGAAGGGACCAGACACTAGTAAAAACTGAATGCTCAAGTGGGGGTCTAGGGCCAGTCAGAACTGCCTGTTAGAGGGTGCAGCTATCAGGTAACAGGCCTTGCCTGTGCCTGGCTGGGCCCCCTGGATGCATCAATGCAAGTCATACACAGCCGCAAAGACATGAGCAGCGTGGGAGGGTGGCCACAGAGGGCAGGGGACACACTAGGCCTCCTGCTGTGGTGCTCAGCCCCTCTGCTGTCACCCCACAGTACATACTTCTGCCCCACACATGCACACGCACACACGTGCATGCGCATGCACACACACAAGCATGCCTGCCTTTGATCTCCAAAGGGGATCCCATTGACAGGCTCTTAATCGCAGCTGCTAGCAGGGCCCGTGCTCTGAAGTCCCGAGTAATGGGATTTGGTGCTTCTGATCCATCTAGGCTGGCTGCTCCCCATTATAGGTGGACATTTTTTTTTTTTCCTATTGCTTCTTTTCTTTCTTTTATCCTTCTTGAAAACAACAGAAAAAAGCTCTTTAAATCATGCCGACGTGACATGGCTTTTCACGGAGCCCAGGCATGTTGGCCAGGACACAGAGGGCCCAGGCCAGTCAGGGGTCTTTGATGCCGCCTCTGTGTGAAATCTGACGTGGGAGACCTACCAGGGCGGTTTTCGGGACTGTGGTGTGCTGGGGTGCATTCCACCTCATGCTCTTTCCTTTGTCTCTTCCCCTGACCCTACTTGGGATGTGTTGGGAGGTTTGAGGGTGGTGTGGGTGGGTGTGTGTGTGTGTGTGCACCTGAGGGTGGGGTGGGCCCTAGGCAGAGCCACAGCCATGAGAACAATGGGCTGCGAGGACCACGTAGTCCACCTGTCCCCCATCCATCCTTGTGTCCACCCGCCTGGCTTACCTTACCTGCCTGGCTCCGTGTGCCTGCTCACGCTCCACCGTCCCGCTGTCCGCCATGATGGGCTTGGCCGTCCGTCCGAGCACTTTCAGCCACTCCAGGAAGCCGGTCCCTGCTCTTGGCCACTGTGTGGCTGGGAGGCAGAAGCGTGACTCTAGGCTGCAGCTCGGGTTCCTGCCGCCGATTGGCTGAGGCAGGGACCAGATGACAGGCCTCAGAACCCTATGGTAGCCATGGCAACCAGCCCCTTTAGACACCGCCACCCCCGAGCCACTCCTGACTGCTAAGGGAGCAAGCGGCACCACCAGTGGGCCCATGCCAAGGTCCCTTTGGAGAGGTGATCGGGTATGGCTGCATGGCAGATGTTCCTGCACCAGCTATTAAGCATTTTCACATACATTCACTCATACTGTGTGTGATGGGTTCTCTGCCCCTCTTATAGCTTGTCCCAGGGCCTTCTGTGCCCTGCTTAACCCCCTGGCAGAGGTAGGAGAAATGGCCTTGCAGTCCCTCTGGAGCCCCTGCCGAGAAGGACTTCAGGTCAGGCTTGCCCCAGGGGCTGAAGCCCAGGCCCATTCTGATGAGAAAATAATGGGTATAGGTCAGTGGGAAGAAAAAGCAGGGAGAACTCCCCACCAAAGGTGAGCAGAGCCAAGCTCTCCCCCTACCTCAGATGGTAAAATGCTTGCAGCTTTAGCTCTCTGTTCACGTACCAGTCCACATTCTTTCTGGCCACTGCCTGTTGAACACATGGATCTATTCCCAAGATCTTCTCTCAACAGCCATCTAAGGACCTGGGATGGCCCTGCTCCCCATGAACCTTGAGTACTTACCTGGCAGAATTCTGGGACCTGGTCAACACCCTGTGACACACCTGACTTTGCACCTTCTCTCCCCTTGGCTACAGCGCCCTTTTGTGTAAAAAACAAATATCTATACCTACAGTCCTCAGTGAGGCAAGGGCAAGTAAATCACCAGGCTTGAAGCCACTACTCTTCTCTGTCACAGCCAGGAGCAACCTGGGCCGTCCAATGCTCCCAGGAGCAAAACTGCCGGGTTGAGGACCCTCTGAAGGCCTGGAGAGAACCCTGGAAATCCACATCCCTCCTCCAGGCTACCTCCTGGCCCAAACCCAGATCATATCTGCCAAGCTGAATATAGCAAAGAGCAGATCAGGGCTGAGAAGGCATAAGCCTCAGGCTCCAGGGAAGGGGTCAGGGTTGTGGTTGGCCCAGGGGCCACTGTGATCCCTGTCAATGCCAGAGAGACTCAGGAGAGGCAGGGGGTGGGGGTGGTTAGTAGCTGGAACATGGGTCCAGGAGGTTCTCATATCCAGGGAAGCAAGCTCAGAGAGCTAGGCTGGCCCCACAATAGGGCTTGGGATGACCCTGGCAGTTTGTAGCTACGGCTGTTCTCAGGCCACAGGACTTAGGGCTTAGGTAGGCCCCTAGACTTGGCTCCAGATTTCTTCATACTAGCCTGGTCCCAGTCTGAGCTGCCCTGACACAGGATGGAGTACCTCCCCTGCCATGATGGAAGCCACTAGCAGTCCAAGGGTGATGTGTGGACAGGGATGCTGCACAGGGTCAGCTGGTGGTGGTCAGGGAGAAGAGACAATTCTGGGGCACAGAATAAGTTTAAGGGTGGTGGGGTGTACCATGTCAGAAGAAGCTGGGACGTTATGGCCTCGGGTGAGGGTAGCTCAAGAGGGACTGGAGAAAGCCTAGGGCTCCACACAGCCCAACCCTATCTGGAGCCAGTGGAAGGCTGGAGTTGTCAGTAGGCTTTGGTGATGGCACAGGTGAAGGAAGGCCAACAAAGAATGACATGAGTGGGTGAGCCTGGCAGTGGCCATGGTGCCCAAGTAACCCAGCAGGACCCACTTGCTCTTCCCACCACCCTCCAGCCGCTGGGCACCTGAGCGGGGCTCAAAAGGCAGGTGAGGGCAGCAAGGTGAGAAGTTGAGCCTAGGACCCCACCTGGATCCACGGACTGCCTCTCCTCCATTCCACCCTACAGTGGGCATGGGCCCTTCCCGGCCCTGGTTGTCTCATTTCTAGGTAGACAGTGGCTCTATTGCTCACCCCTAAGGAACCCATACCCAGTCTTAACAGTCTACCCTTATGTCTACCTTCTCCTCCATAGCCCAACTATAGCTCCTACAACCCCGAGGCTGACCTCAGGCTCTGTTGTCATGGACACACATGGGCTCAGTCAATCCCTGGGAAAGTGTGTACGGGAAGATCTCTCTTGGTCCTAGAGCTGTTCAGACCCAGCAGGACAGGGCAAGGTATGGGCCAGCACAGGGTAGCTCTGCCTTTTGCACATCTGACCTCGATCAGTGCAGGTCCCCCACTATGGGATGTGTGGTTCCCAGCACAGAGTTACCTAAAATGGCTCAGCAGGCCAGGCCTGGCCAGGGCCTAGAGGGTGTAGGTGTGACACACAGGGCAGGGAAACACAGACAGAACATCCTGTTCACATCTAGTTCCCAGTGCTGTGTATGAACAGCACACTTGACCACAAACCTGTCCCTGTGTGCATGTGTGACTGAGCATGCACAGTCCCTGAGTTCCCACATCTTAGAAGGCAGAATGTTAGGGCAGATTTATACAGCCTGTCCCAGACCTGGCTTAGTGCTATTTCTGGTGTGGGGCAGATCTGTCACTCACTGAGGACCATGACCATTTTGAATCAAGGGCATTTGTGAGAATTTGATGAAACTGATATGGCCTCCCCCAGAAAAAGCCTATTTTGCCAGGGAGGGTGGCTCAGGCCTGTGATCCCAGCACTAGTGAGACTGACGCAAGAAGACTATGAATTCAAGGCAAGCCTGAAATATATAGTGAGACTCTATCTCAAAAAAAAAAAAGAAAAGAAGGGCTATTTCTGGATTCAAGGGCAATACCACACCCAGTCTACCTCAAACTGCCTCAGGCTCCAGGAATGATTAGGAGTGGCTTGCTGAGGTCAGAGGACTCCCACTGGCAGCCACACAAATGGCTACCAGGTGCCCATCTAGAAGCACAACCCAAGAGTCAGTGACTGAAGGATGTACACTCCAGACACATCAACCATACAGAATTCTCTCCAGGGGAAAAAGAAACATCAAACTGAACCTCAGTCTCCACAGATCCCTGGAGATGGCAGCTGGAGCCAGAGTGCACACTCTCCACGTTGGATCTCTTGACAGGGGCAGGGGGTGACTAGGCCAGGATCTCCAGAGAGAATTCTAACAAAAAAAATTCTCCAAACAAAAGAACACACACACTGCCAGGCTCAGACTTTACTTGGTCCTTGACCCACAAGCATAATAAATGCTGTCCAGGATTTGCCCCAGTCTGGGCAGGGCCTCTGGGGTATCCTGGGACAAAAGTGCCCCCAGGAGCTGTGAGGCTAGCATACGAAAACCAGGATTCACCCACTGCCCACAGGTGGCCCTCATGGCCATCCCAGGTTCTGTGTCCATAGTGATAAAAGATCCAGCAGGAAAGGCTGAGCCTGGTGGTCAGGCATTCAAGAGGCTGTTTGGTCACTTCCCGCTGGTTCTCTTCTGTACTACCACAGGCTCTGACAATGCCTGTTGCTGAAGCCGTGCAACCAGCTCCTCCACGTAGATCTTGAAGAAGGGGACAGGGTCCTGAAGGGAGAGGGTCCTGGTGAGACTGATAGCGGCCAACAGTAGCTGGGACTCGGGACTCCAGGGAAAATGGGAACCAGCTGCTGTTGGTCAGACATCTCAGGGAATTGGGGGCAGAGTAAGAGCTGGGCCCTTCAGCCTTGGTCACAAGGCTTATCGCCATGTTTGTCAATCTGGAAGGTGGACTCTACCCATGAGAAGAGGTCTCCCCTTTCTTGGGGACACAGCAGCCATGTGCCTGCCTCTGGCTTCCCTGTGGTCACAGATAAACTGAGCAGAGAGAATAGAAGGAGCCAGCTGCTATGGCAGGCGGGCTCCCTGTCCTGGCAGCTATAGGCTCCAAACCTTCTAGACACAAAAGAAAGACCCTGGGAATTCCAGGAGGCAAAGTAAACACAGACCCAAAAATCTTGCTCTACTGCTAAGTGTGGTGGTGCATACCTATAATCCCAGTACTCAGGCTGAGGCAGGATTATTACTGTAAGTTTGAGGCCAGCATGGGCTACACAGCTAGTTCAAAGCCACGCTGAATAATATAGCAAGACCCTGTCCCCAAAAAAGAAAAGAAAAAAAAAGAATCTTGCTCTTTCCACTGGTCTAGGGACAGGACAGGACAGGAGACAGAAGGAACTTCCTTCAGGTTATACACACATCAGCAGATACAGATCCATCAGGGTGTATGACACCAGCTTATCCAGGCTTTCTGCCCACTCCTAGGAAGGCAGCAACAGCTGGCATTCACACATGCTCACCTTCTCCTCCAGGAGCCTCTGCTTCTCTATAGCCTCCTCTAGCGTCAGGCCAACCCACTCAGCCTCCTCCTCTGGGATGACAAACTCCTGAGCAGGAAAACAGAAGACATAGTGAGGCTAAGCCTCCCTAAAGGCCACAGGCAGCAGGGAGGACAGGGGAAGCCCTCACCTTATACTTGTCGTAGATGGCTGTTCTCCGCTCAGGGTCATCTGGGTGCAACCGGGGGTCCTGCCGGGCAAGCCTCAGCAGCATTCCTCGCTTCAGGTCCATCCCAAACTTGGAGCACAGGTCTTCCTTTGGGGTCTGCAGGAGGTACACTTGGGACCAGATGCTGAAGGCAGGGCTCCACCCCACCTCCCTGTCAACCACCCCTCAACTAGACCAGAGCAGGCCATTCACGATGGGTGACACCGGCACCCGAGCCTAGGGTGGATCAGGATACAGATTAAGCTGAGGAATCAGAAGCAGGTGGCCATACTCACTCAGGCCCCGTGGGTACATCAGTCACCCACATAAGGGACTCTCCTGTGGACAGAAAGCCCTACTGGGGTTGCCCAGAAAGGGGCATGATCCTACCTATGTTTTGCCAGTTACTCTCGAGACACCACAAGCTCCAGTGTGGCACTGCTCTGGGTCTGAGTCTGGCTGGCCACAGGACCCTGCCATGCATCAGCCCTGCTTGCCTTGAGGATATAGAAGTCAAACCCATAGGCCTCATCAATGAGATCTAGGGTCCGCATGGTTACAGTCACAGTGAACTTCTTGTCCAGGATCTCACTGTAGAGCTCACGCTGAAACAGCTGTGGCTTCCACACCTTCTTCACCCTGTTTGACATCTAAGAGTGCAACAGAAGTCCTGTGAGTTTTGCTGTATCTCCCAGGTGGCGTCACCTTTCTGGTAGGGCCAGGCTAGTGGGTTCCCCAGTGCCTTCACCCTTTCCAGAAAAAGAGTAGCCAGAAAGGCCTCAAAAATACAAGTCTCTGGGCTGGTGATTTAGCTCAGTGGTACAGTGCTTGTCTTGCAAGCGCAAGCTCCGCAGTTGATCCCCGGTACCAAAACAAAACAAAACTAGTCTCCTCACAGAAGACTCAGACTCGTACCATAAGCAAACATGGGGGACAGGTTCTGCTCTTCGCAAATTGCCTTTGAGTCTCTCAGGCTTCCTGATTCTTCTTAAAAAAATTTTTAATCCGACCTCAACTCTCCCTCTCCTGGGCTCACAAGCCTCTTTTGACACTATAGCCGCTCTCCCCAAGCCTTCGTATGGTCTGTTTCCCCCAAGGCTGGGGCACCCCACCTCAGCATACGATGGTTTTGCCAGTGAAGTTTACCAGGTCTGTATCGCTTCATTTGTTAGGATGTTCTTTTGGCACAACTGCGTCCATCGGAACGACAACGAGCCGTCTCCCGCACCTACCTTGTCGTTGTTAGCGTATCTGTAGCCCAGGATCCAGCCCTCGCCGCCCCAGAGCCCCTTCTGGGACTCTCGGGGATAGTAAATGGGGATGGGCACGTCCTCCACGCGCTCCCGTTGCCCATTCTTGGGGTTGATCTTGAACTTGGTCCCGTGAGGCTGATAGTGGACGGGCGTAGGCGTGCGGGTGTTTTCCAAGGAGCGGAGGAAATGGGTGGGCAGGCGCGAGCAGATGCCACCTTGCAGCTGCAGGCGCCTCCACAGGTAGACCGGGAACCTGTGCAGAGGCATCTCACGGCGTTACCGTAGCCCTCACCTCAGCCAGGACCAAGGGATCGGCGCCACCGGAAACGGAACTATACCCAGTGCCCCGACCTTCGCTCGCCGGTGACTGGCCGCCAAATCTGTTCATCTATCTTCGTCCCGCCCCCTGCCCTTAGGGACCGTACAGAAAAATCTGGCTGAAAGAATAGCGGTTCAAGGCAATGTCGGCAAAGTGCAAAGTGCGGCCCAGGCATTTTCAGAGAGGACGGCGGAGGGGTGGCTCTCCTGGGTCCGGCTTCACCCACCACCCCAGGAGAAAGAGCAGAAAAATGTAAAAACTCTTTAGGCTTGAAAAGTCAGTGTAGAATATTAAATTCACTAATCACATAAAAATGTCTTGGGGCTGGGGATTTAGCTCCATGGTTCTGCCTCACAAGTGCAAGGAGTTTGATCCCCAGCACCAAAAAAAAAAAAAAAAAAAA